TAATTTAACAAGTTTTGTAATGACCTGTACTAAAGTAGTACCTTAAGTCAATAAGTTTTATAATAACCTGTACTACAGCGGCAAATTATGTTAACAAGGTTTGTGATGACCTGTACGACAGTACATCATGTTAATATGTGTTGTAATGACCTTTACTACAACAGTACATCATGCTAACAGGTTTTTTATTGACCTTTTCTACAACAGTATATCATGTTAACAGGTTTTGTATTGACCTATACAACAGCAGTACATCATGTTAACAGGTTTTGTAATGACCTTTACTACAACAGTACATCATGTTAACAAGTTTAGTGATGACCTATACCACAGTATTACATCATGTTAACAGGTTCTGTAATGACCTATAGTACATCAGCACATCTTCTTAACAAGTTTTCTAATGACCTATACTACACTAGTACATCATGTTAACAGGTTTTCTAATGACCTATACTACAGTAGTACATCATGTTAACAGGTTCTGTAATGACCTATAGTACATCAGCACATCTTCTTAACAAGTTTTCTAATGACCTATACTACACTAGTACATCATGTTAACAGGTTTTCTAATGACCTATACTACAGTAGTACATCATGTTAACAAGTTTTCTAATGACCTATACTACAGTAGTACATCATGTTAACTAGTTTTATGATGACATTTACTACAATAGTACATCATGTTAACTAGTTTTATGATGACATTTACTACAATAGTACATAATTTTAACAGGTTTTCTGATGACCTTTACGACAACAGTACATCACAAGTTTTGTGATGACCTTTACTACAGCAGTACATCATGTTAACGAAGTTTGTGATGACCTATACTACAGCAGTACATCGTGTTAACAAGTTTAGTGATGACCTGTACTACAGCAATACATTATGTTAACAACATCGAGTTTATTTTGCTCAAAAGTAGAAATTGTGTTCTCTTGTGTAAATATTCTTATCAAGATCGGCTACTGTGGATTTGCAGAAGTCTTGTGTGAGCTTCATAAGTGCAACTGAGATGGAATGGAGTATTTTCTTCCATTGTAAACAAAATAGTTTGTCATTGGCCCCTATGGTAACTGGTGGATTCAGATTAAGTGATTTAGGTATAGTTTGATACTGTAAATGCTGTTCTAAAACGTCAGTATGGTTAATATATCTCAGTCTCTTTTCGTTCAGTTTTCTAAGTCGTTTGAAAGTTTTGGTAGGGTTGAGAGTAGAATACGATTGGGAAGTAGTAATGGAGGGAAGGTTTAGTTTGAGGAGAGTGGAAGATTTTTCTATGGAACGTGAAGGTCATCAGGTTTGGAACTTAGTGGATGATTGCTAGGAATATAGAAGATACCAGAAGGAAGGTTGTTTTCAAGGTGTGCAGAAGATTCGGCTTTTGGAAGGAGAAAAGTTTCAGAGGTTGTGAAGTTTGGTCATTAGGTTCAGGGCTTATTAGAAGGTTATTAGGAATAAGAGTGGAAGCCGTAACTTCTGCATGAGTAGAGAATTTAGGAGAAGGGTCAAATGTAGACTTTGGAATAGTTCCAGGGGAAGTAGTGATAGAAATGGGATTTGGAAGTACAGAAGTATGGTATACAGATGTATGTACTTTGGATTGAAAGGTTGTGACTGAGGCAGGCTTCGTGGCTTGGGTATTAGGTTTAGGGCTCAGGGAAAGGTTACTAGAAATAATAGTGGAAGTCGTAACTTCAGTATAGGCTAGACATTTAGGCGAAGGGTCACAATTAGAGTTTGGGACAGTTCGAGGAGAAACAGAAGTGTAGTAGAGATGTGCCATACAAATGTATGCTCTTTGGGTTGAGGGTTTTTTAACGAGATAGGGGTATGGGGAATAGAAGAAGTTGAAGGAGATTTGAATGACCCTTTGTTCTCCTGAAGAAGAATAGTCAACTATTCGAAAGCGCTTGAGTTTTGGGTCTTATTTTAAGCCTATTACACTTTAAATGTGATCATTTGTGCTAACTATTTTATCAAAATTACGTTAACAACTTTAATGATGACGTGTACTACAACAATGCATCAAGTTAAAGAGTTTTTATGACCTATACTACAGCAGTACATCATGTTAACAAGTTTTAAGATAATCTGTATTATAGTAGTACGTTATATTAACAAGTTTTGTAATGACCTGTACTATCAGTAGAACGTTTAAACACGTAAGTTACCGAGAAAAAGTGCATTAGAGGAACACAGTTGTAACTCCCTTTAGCGCAGTTTTAGATTTGTGCATGTGTTAATTTTGTATTTGTGGCACGGTAAGCTGAGAGTGGTTGTTCCAACTTGATTAAGACGACATAAATAAAATTTCAGTTGGTTATATATACACACTTAGGGAAAGAAGGAGCAGTGTTTAATGCGTAAACACATACATCAAACTGAGTGTCAGAATAAGCAATTTATTATCAAAATGTTTACATCTTAGAATTTACTGCGACGATAACAAGTTACCTTTATTATAGTAAAAACGTTTTAAAAAATAGAATAGCAAGTCTGAGATCAGAAATTTGTTTAAAAATTTGCACTGACTTAAAAAAATCTATTTTTCACTATGAGTAGCACTTCACATAAGCAACGAATTGTACATATTTTCCTAAGTTTGATTTTGCTATAATTAATTATGTAGAGGCACACATAATAATTTTCATATTCTGGTGCTGCCATCTGTTATTGCGTTTTTCAGCTATATTGAGTCAGTGTTTTGGGTTTTAAAGAAAACACAACTTTTATGGTTACACCATTCCAATGAGCCTAAAGCGCAATCATTAGAGCAAAATTCTGTAAGTCAAAAACATAGTGGTACAGAAATAAAGAAGTGTTTAGTGGGATTGCAGATAGCATCAGTAACTTATTTGTGATTGTTATAAAAGTATTTTTACCTGCCTTGTCTAGCTGTTTACATCAATAAATTAGTAACAGAGTCGAACCATGAGATAACGGACTCAAGCCATTTGCAGATATGATCATTTAATTACACACACGTATACAGGGGGTAGCCCAAGGATGTTCGGCCAAACCCCTATTTTTATTATGTAAAAAAATTATGCTGATATAGTTATAGCGCAGTTGCTCATGTATTTAACGTTTTCTACACAGTTTACATTCTTCTGATGAAACATTAGCAATTTTTGGCTTGAAATAGTCGCATACACCCAGACCTCTGCAGTATTAGCATGTTTTGCATGCTGATTGTGCTTGGCATAATATGTTTTAGCTTTTGATCTCACAAACTGGAACCCCCTTTCAAACATTCTGCGTACGGGCCTGAACTGATTAAATATTTGTGTCTAAATTCAAAGTCACAAGTTTATAAAAAAAAAGAAGAAATGTGCTCTATTCCAGGGTGTTTTTATCCCTGTTCTATTAAAACAAAATATTCCATCAGACAATTTCCAGTTACCATACATAAAATTACGGTAATCAAGCCAGCCAACTGTGAGTGATAGATGCCATAAGTCTATAAAAAAGTAAAGATGTGTTCTACTTCAGGGGCTTATTTATTCTCTCTTCTTGGACAAAAAACTTAAACAAATAGCCCATGTGCACCGTCGGACAGTTTCCAGTTACCATATCAGTAGTTATGATAATCGAGCCAACTCTGGGTGATGGATTCTAACACACACATAATGGATTATCTTTCTAGTAAGATTCTAAACCACTTCCAAGCAGAATTATGTTACAGAACATTCTAACCCACTTGCATTTAACATTATGTCACAAAACACTCTTAGCAATTTCTTTTAACATTGTGATACACAACACTCTAGATCACTTCTTTTCAACATTATGTTACAAAACATCCTATCCCACTTCCGTTCAAAATTACATTGCAAAATACTCTTACCCCTTCCTTTTAAAATTATTATTACAGAACACTCTTACAACTTCCTTTCAACATTATTATTACAGAACATTCTGAGTCACTTCCAACCAGCATTATGTTACAGAACACCCTATCCCACTATCATTATGTGCGGAACAATTCAACACATTTGTTCAAGAATATGTTACAGAAAAATCTAACACTAATGTTCAACATTATGTTACAGAACAATTTATCACTAATGTTCAACATTATGTTACAGAAAAATCTAACACTAATGTTCAACATTATGTTACAGAACAATTTATCACTAATGTTCAACATTATGTTACAAAACAATTTATCACTAATGCTCAACATTATGTTACAGAATAATCTAACATTATATTATAGAACAATTTAACACTAATGTTACATAATAATCTAACACTAATGTTCAACATTATGTTACAGAACAATTTATCACTAATGTTCAACATTATGTTACATAACAATTTATCACTAGTGTTCAACATTATGTTACAGAACAATGTAACACTAATGTTCAACATTATGTTACAGAACAATCTAACACCAATGTTCAACATCATGTTACAGAATAATTTATCACTAATGTTCAATATTATGTTACATAACAATTTATCACTATTGTTCAACATTATGTTACAGAACAATTTATCACTAATGTTCAACATTATGTTACAGAACAATTTATCACTAATGTTCAACATTATGTTACAGAATGATCTAACATTATATTGTAGAACAATTTAACACTAATGTTGCATAAGAATCTAACACTAATGTTCAACATTAAGTTACAGAATACGCTTAAGTACTTTTATTCAATTTCCTGTTACGTCATTCTAACTAACTCCCTTTCATCGTAACTTTATGTTACAGAACCCAGTAGAGGACTTTTTTTTCTACTCAACGCTTTGGATAACACTTTAAAGTACTTTCATTACTACAAATCAAGCCCAAGGGTGAAATGCACTTAGGACGTTTTATCAAATTGTCGTAGTCATTGGAAATAAAATTTCTATAAACAAGTAGTATGTTTTCTTCGTAATTTGTTTCTTAACTTTGATAAAAGTATTTGCCTTACCTGTTATTCCGAAACACAATGGCGGTTTTAAGATCAGCGTTTAGATCTGAAATTACGTCATCTTTGATGTTATTTGAGGCTTTTTTACCATTCAAGGAAGATCCACTTTTTTTCAAATGTCCATTAGTCACATCTTTAACACTGTAAATAAATCTCGGCCTGAACACGTCTCCATCACTTATGTATCCTGTTGCAAAATCAACAGAATCTGCATCAGAAGAATAATCTACATTTAAAAAGCTTTGACTTGAGGAGAAGGATCGTTTCATAGGGTTGCTGTTATTCGTGGTTAAATTTCCTGCCGTTATAGTGTGCTTCGAAAGAGTTAATTGTCTAGCTGTGCTACCACTTACATCTGATAGAAAATGCAAGGCAGGTGACTGGAGTTTGTTGACGAAATTACGAGTGGAAGACAAGGGACTCAAGCCGCGATTATAGCCATAGTGAGGAAAATGTGTAATTGGTTTCATGGGTTTGATATTTACTATTATGTCATCAGCTTCATCAGCAAGCAAAGCATCCGTGTTCCAGCCAGAATCGTCACTTTCCTGAGAAACATTATTATTTGTTGAGCGTCTGTAATTTATTTCGGTGACCTTTTCTGTATTTATAATAGGGCCAGAGTTCACACACCTTAGGCTTTCTAAATGTGAACTTAACTTTAAGAGTTTGTTAGAATTTTCTTGAGTCTCGTCCTTTATTCTCATTGACCGATCAACTGGAAGATTTGAGTTAACGAACCTTTTCTCTTCCGAATGACCTTGTTGGCGCTCCGAATTGTCTTTAGTGTTAGTATGAATACTGGTGTTCATCATGGGAGAAACTTTGGCTACGCTAATGGTGGATCCTTGTTTTGTCCTCTCTAATTTAGGAAGTGATACACTGTTGCCACACTCACTAGATGGTTTTAAGCTACTTCCCAGGACTTGTCTGTTGGCCTCATTTGTCACACGAAGTGTATCTTTTGACTTTTTCACTGGTGCGCAGCCCTCTTGACACATACCTGATTGAATGGCTGGCGTTTGCCTTGTACCAATGTTGGGATCTGATTTACCGTCTTCAGCTGCGGTGATGGTTAGACATCTCTGTTTCTTTATGGTTTTCGAAGTTCCTTTTACTGCTGCTGTTGGTTTGGGAGTGCTGCTAGTTTCTGGATGCTCACTAGGAACACATATGGTATCCTTTTTTCCAACCAAACTACCATCACCACACACTGCGTAACTGTTCGAGACAAAACACATGTCGCTGCCAGAAACCACACTTCCATTAAACAAGGCACCTTCACCACACACTGAGTCACTGTTCGAGACAAAATCCACGTCGCTGCTAGAAAACACATTACCTGAACTGGCAGTCTTGATGGTCTGCCCAGTTTTGGGGATAAGACTGGAAATTTTCGATTGACGAATGGGCTTATTGGGCTGGATACTTTTACACATCTGGCCTTTTGCGCCATTGTGTTGTCGCCCTTGTCTTGAAGTTTCTGTTCGAGAAACCAGACTAGGCTTACCACATTCTTTATCTCTCGTCATGGATCTAGGGAGAGAACAGCTATCTTTGCTTTCAGCTCGACGAGGCAAAGTGCTGGACTTAGCGTTTGAGTTTTTTACTTCGTTGTCACTTTCAAGTTGATTTATTCGAGAACTTTGGACGTCTTTCCCTGCAAAAACAAAAGCAGTATATTATGCTCGTTTGAAGTTTATTAGAGCTATGAGAAATTCAAGGCATCGTTTTTAGTTGTAACTGTACTGAACAAATAAGTATAGGTCAAAATATAGTTCAAGAATAAAACGAGGTTAGTTTAAGATACAAAAAAGTACTGGTCTTTCCTAGGTAAAAATATGAAAATATGGTTACTCTTGGGTTGTGCAGGGTACGGTTAATTAAAAGCTGTGGAACTAAATATAAGGTATACTATTCTACATGGCATAATACACGCATTTATTATTAATTGCAAAAAAAAAAAGAATCTATTTTAACTTTTAAGTTTGAAAATCGCATTAGAATTGAAACATTTACAACGCTGATTAAAAAACTCGCATAAAAAACGGAAGAGTAAAAAAATGTTAAATAATTTTCATTCCAAAATTCATTTTTTGGGTTTTGAATGAAGCACAAATCTCGAAAATCTGCTTTAAAATCCAATGCTTCAGTAATCTGATGCTCAGTCGGTATATGGAAAGACCAACTAAATGCTCCTATTTGATGTTGGATGTCACGGATGTTTTGATTAGTTTTAGATGTTGGATGTCACGGATGTTTTGATTAGTTTTAGTTTTGAGAAACCTCATTCTCCACTGCAACCATAATTGGTAATGTCTGAAGAATTTTTAGTGTATTGGGGAACTGGGAGATTATTTTATTCGAGGTACTCTATTGCACGAATTGGTGCCGTTCCTGGTGGACAGAGCTAATAAACGGTTGAGATTATTGATATGTAAGAGCAATGTTCTAATTTTCACACCTTGTTGTTGGTTCATGAATTCCAATGAGTGTCGTGTCTTCTACTAGGACTACTAAAATGATATCATTTGGCCAAGTGAAAGATCTTAAAAATTCAATGATGTGACAATCATCATTTATTTCACCACTTTCAACGAGCTTTTCACTGTCGTTTTCCCTATCACTCCTCTTTCTGTTTCGAAGTTAAATAAGTACTCATCTGCCAGAAATCCCATTGCCACTCCCCGCTTTTTAATATCTCCATTTTAATGTCTATTTATTGTCATTTTTCTCACATTCGAATTTTTTCATTCCATTATTAAAATACTACAAACTATATAATGGGCTATCTGTGCTTTTCCCACCACAGGTATCGAAACCCAAATTTTAGATTTGTATTAAAATACTTCATAAATCTTTAAATGGAACTTTTGTGTTTCTCTTCTCCTGTTGTCTTCCTGTATTCAGTGCCAGGTAGGTGACGTTTGCCGTCCGACATTATGCGATTAAACACGCATAAATAGACTAATCACAGTCAGTGAAAAAATAATAAATGAATAAATTCCAACTTTCTTTGTCGATCTATATTGCACTTAAACAAATAAAAAACTGTAATCTACATTAGTCACACCTATTTATGTAACATACTATAAGTGCTTATAAAATCCTTATGATTCATTGCCCTCTGGTAAAGACTGAAGGGGTTGTTCTCGAATTTGTACTGCCCGCCTGCGTGGAAGTCTTGACTCTACAACAATAACAAAAAGTCGCCCACAGTTCAGGAAGCTATTATCACTAGTGTATTGAAATATCATATGATGAGTCTCTAGTGGTTTATCATTAATAACTACTTTTAGTTTTAATGTGTTCTTCTTCCTCTCAATGCTACTCTTTATTTCTTTTATTTTTTGTATGTTTCTTATTCTTTACGTGTTATTTTTATTTTCACTTTGTTGGACAAAATGGGCTATCTGTGCTGTGCCCACCACGGGTATCGAAACCAGGTTTTTAGTGCCGTAAGCCTACATACTTGCCGCTGAGTCACTGGGGGCTTTCCCATTTGTTCAAACTCTAATATTTTGTTTTTTCGTATTTCTCTATTACTACTTCTTTTATCGCATCTGCTACTTTTTTACCGACCTAGGAAAATGTCTATACGATAAAGCAAGTTCTGAATAAATAATTTATATTGTACATTGAATTTTCGTATATCATAAAATTTTCAAGTTAAATTTTCCTGCAGGGCAACATCACATTATTTCAAATGTTTTGTAAAATACTGCCTGATAACAACATTCGTGAATACGTAACAGCCTGTTAAGAAGGCCCCCTGGCCTAGCATGGTCAGGTGGTCAGGGCGCTCGGCTTGTAATCTGCGGGTCGCGGGTTCAGATCCCTGGCCCACCAAACATGCTCGCCCTTTCAACCGTAGGGGCGTTAACATGTGACGGTCAATCCTACTATTCGTTGATAAAAGAGTAGCCCAAGAGTTGGCAGTAAGTAGTGATGATTAGCTGCATTCCCTCTAGTCTTACACTGCTAAATTAGGGACGGCTAGTGCAGATAGCCCTCGTGCAGCTTTACACGAAATTCAAAACAAACAAACGAAGACGGCCCCCTGGTAGCTTAGCGGTAAGTCTGAAAGCTTATAACACTAGAAATCGATTTTTAATACCCACGATGTGCATAGCACAGTAACACATTGTATAGCTTTGCGCTTAACAACAATCAAACAAACTGTCAAGTTGATCACCAGTTGGTTAAGATAACTAGCTTTGACGATAATATTTTAATACAAAAAACAGCCTCAGATTTGAAGAACTTCAACAACATAACTATCCCCTGACGACAACATATGGAGATACAGAACAGCGAGTCGAGGCGCCACTTAGAACTCAATAAGATGTTTCAAAAAAATTTAACTAAGTTTTGTTTGAAAACTCAGAGCATGTATGGCTAAAAGTATAATTATTACAACCATTCCTGAAATCTTGAATACTGATAATGGCTAAAGAAAACAGGTCACTTGTAAATATTAATTTTCAACTAATTTACATGATACGCGATTTTATATATAATAGCGACGAAACAAATTATAGCTTTCATTTATTTTTACACTGTACATTTCCCAGATAAACAGTTTGTTATCGAAACACATTTAAAAAAGAGCCGACCACGCCCAAAGGCCAAAGTCCTGTTACCCCAAGAAACAACAACACACGCTCCGCACTTTGGGGCCGTGGATGCATTATAAGGGTGTCGGGCAAAACCCCTCTATTCGATTAGAGAAGCCCACAAGTTGGCGGAGGGTAGTGTTGACTAGCTGCCTTCTTTCTAGTGTATCCCTTCAAAAATAAGGACGACAAGTGCAGAAAGACCTCGTGTAGCTTTGCAAGAAAATCAATGCACAATATTTGAAAAATAAAACAACTAAAAGAACGGTTTTGGTGGCAAGTTACTAGTCAAACTGTATGAGAGAACTACGGCACGTTGCTAAAAGGTAAACCTTAATTGTTTGAAACATATAGTAATATAAAATATTAAAAAGTTAAAGCTCTTAGGTATTACACAGTAACGACTTAAATACATTTTTTAAAAACCACAATTAAGAATTAAAGGACGAACTCGAACCATTCTAAGGTTAAAATTATTCGCGTGTATTATGATTTTACGCATACGAAGAAAATAATAACAATAATATATTTAATGTTACTCTTATTACTTTCGTACTTACGCCTGTCTGAAGTTGGTCTGGAATTAGCTTGTCTAACATTACTCGTTTTCCTGCCACCAGGAGTTTTCTTTGATAAGTGTTTTGTTGCACTAACGGACTTGTTAGTAATTTCATGTTTCGACATAGGGGACGCCACAGAAAGTAATTCTGATACGTCTGTAGAAGAACTAAAGCCACTGCTACAGCTGGTCTGTTTGGACACATCGAAATATACTGAAATGTATCAATATATACAATTCAAAGTTAGAACATTTCACCTATTATCATTAACAATAATTTACGTTTAAGTACAATAACATATTAAATATATATAACTTCTACAATATTTGTTCACATTATATATCGAATATATATCAATTATAATTTTTTTTGAAAATATTTATTCACAATGATTTTATTTATCTACACTCCATCTTAATTTCGAGTATTTTATCTTCTCGTGTTACGTAAGATGGGTAATAAAATATCGAAAATATAGAATATTTATTATAGCATGAAAATAAGATTATTTTACACTAATGATAATTACAAATTATAAACATTACAAACTAGCTTAATTAGAGTTCCTTTATGTAATAACGGCTATTCTCTCCACACATTCAATTTTTTTCCGAAAATTTAACAGCAATTTACCATTTCTTACCTCTTTTCGTTGATTTTTGAATTGAACATTTCTGTTTATTGTTATCTAATGAAGTATTGGTATCATAATCATCGTTGGTTGCGCACTCGGTACTAGCAACACCTGCTGGGTGTCGCAATGCAACTCCAGTGCTTGCTGTAACTGGAAGAGAGAACGAAGACGAAGGGGACGACGTAGACGAAAGCCTTAAAAACAAATGCAATTATTTAATAATCCAAGACAGTTAATAAAGATAAAAACGAACAGTTTCTGAACGTTGACACGTATGAAGACTTTGAATAATCAGAATTATTTCACAAACCTGCGAATCTCTATCGAAATTACTCACACAAACACGTATTGTAAGATTTCCAGTTCTAACTATCCAGAAATAAATAAACTGTATTAAAACTGATTCTTTATCAAGCTGAAATGCTAACTAATTATCTGCATCTATGGTTTAGTATAGAAATCTAAGCTCAAAAGACTATACTAACCGAATCTGTTTGAGATGCTAATCAGAGTTTATACTGAATGAAGATCTGTTTTTAATTAAGGACTCTACATATAGAATATATTATCGACATCTAGAAAGGGACTTTTAATATTTAGAATACACTCGCAAAATATATTTAGAATTCATCTGACAACATTCACCCTAACAGAGGGTACATTATACCATATACAGAATAATCGGAATTTGTATTATTATATCTATAAAAAGGCAAAAAAATTAGTTAAAAATAATGTTAATCATTCTTCTTTGCTCGTCATTCTGCAACTCACGTATCTCGTGGTTTTAGTCACGAAATTTGAAACGTAAATTACTTATCATTCATCCCTTGTTACGTATAGTGGTCTCATAATTTTATCTGAGTCCTCACTTGCAAGTGAATTACAGTTTAAAGTGCTCCAAAATGCTCATGAACTACGGTTAGACATTAAAAATAACTGGAAGTTTCACTTATCTGAAGACCATCGATAGAATTAAAGCCGAACAATCACAGCAGACTGTTACGAATTGGTTACAAGAGGTTTTAGGAGAATATGGAACTGCTTCTAAGCCAGTGACACAGCTGCTTAGACATCTTGACAAGGTGAAACATCATCCAAACACAACACCACTAGTTATCGGCTCTGGCTCACTGCAGTCATTGGGCACCTGCTCCGAAACTAAATCAGACGTTCGTGGCCGCAATTGGTTAGATACATAGTTCCCAACGCCAGCCTGTATGTCAGGTGTACTTTTCCCACAACAAAATACAATCAGACTAAGACTCAGCAGCGCCAAGATCATGCTCAGAGGAACAACACAATCAGGCTAAGATTCAATGGCGTCTAGAGGAACAACAATATGTGGAGCAATATTCTTTATTTTTACAGATGAGTTCAACTTCACACTTTAACCAAATGATTGACATACACTAATTTGCAGAAAATGTTGAAAAAGATACAACGTGTCACATTCGTTAACTGACACCAAAGATTCCCAGGTAAGCGTTCTTTTAAAGGAGTGGTTGGGGAGGCCTCAGGCCCTTATCAACATTTTAGTTTTAAGTATGGAACGTCAGTGTCAGGCTACCCTTGCTGTTCAAGATGGCCGTAATTCATACTAAAGTGAAATATCATGAACTATAAAGATGGAAAGCCATCAACCCAATGTTGAATTATTAAACACCTAACGTACATAAAATTATCTTGGAAGGTGAGTGATTGCCAGTATTTTATAATACTGATTTTTCCTTGTCATAGTTAAGATATTATATATTCCCATAATCCTTTCGTTGTTTACTGCAATGTACTTGTGATCAATTATCATAAAACGTGTTTTAACTGTCAAATAACACAAGCAGAGATTTACACATCCTACACAACATTTGATTAGATTTTTTATTCACATTTATTTCACTTCAGTACAAATAACTCTCACCAGGTTAGTCGAAGTTATCCAGCATATACTTTATTAACTGCTAATTTTGATACCATTCATTTCATTATACTTCTTGTATGAATAGGAGAAAGTACATATTTAAAACAATGTCTAGGCTACAAATCACAACTACAGCCATTTTTACAACAATACAGTTTAATAATAATAAATAATAAAGAAAGGATTATGGAAAATCTGGACAAAATACTACATAGAAAGACGATTATCAATCCATTTTGAACTTTCGAACAGAAAAATATTTTCATACATTAACACAATATATATATATATATTTACCTCAATTGGTTCCAATTAATACTTCTTTTATCACGCGTCACAACATTATTTCGTGGCTGTGGTATGAAAGAATCGCACTGAATTCCTGTGGAATACAGGGACTCCAATTGTGAGCTGTTAGCAGAGGGCGCTTTCGGTATAAGGCTACCACCACCTGTCGATCAGAACAAAACAGTTTTACTTTGACTTCATTCTGGATGATTACCATCCTCAAAAATTCATTCTAACTTACAACTAGGAATATTCAACTCTCGACAGCAAACATTATGTGTTGATATTTATATTTTGTGACTCCTTATATCTAAATATTTAGCTTCTTTCTGTTTCATTATTAGTTTTTTACGTTATCAGATTCAATAATACGTATACAACATCCACAGGCTTGTCTGAAATAATCAGATGTTATTAAAATGCTTAACGATTTACTCCTTAACAAGTAATTATTGTAAAACAAGGAAATCTGATTGATTGACATGTTACTAAAACTTTATTTTTCTCCAGTAAATGCTCTGAAACTGATTTTCGCCACTTCTTGAATGGTAAGCGTTTACAACGTTCAAGCTTAGGAAGTGAATGAATCTTTAATTATTTAGTTTATTCTATTCTAACTTAATGTCAGAACTAAGTTACAAATGATTTATGTAAGGGAGTTTATCCTTCTGCTTATCTACCGTTTTTAGGGAAGTAAGACGAATCACTTCTTACAAATCTTTGAGAATACAAATAATGAAATCCACGAGTAAAGGGAACAAAACGGCTCGTCTACTTGACGTTGAAGCACACAAGTACAGTAATAGTGTTGCTAAGGAAATAAGCCAAGTTACGTCACATTTCTGACAACAAAACTAAAAACGGTTTAAAGATATCACGGCAGGTAATGACTGCGTGTTTTTAATCTCTATGTCTACCGACAGAGGTCTCCCTCTACAGGAATATTCTTCCGCCTCTTCCGCGCAGACTTTAGACTTGTTTGTTTGTAATTAAGCACAAAACTACAGAATGGGCTATCTGTGCTCTGCCCACCACTGGTATCGAAACCCGGTTTCTAACGTTGTAAGTCCGCAGACATATCGCTGTGCCACTAGGAGGCCAGACTTTAGAAGAAATAGTGAAAAGAAGTACGGTAACGCCCACTGTCGTATATTAGTGAAGGGAAATGATCACTATTGAAAAAGTACGCACAAATAAACACAATAGTAAAGTTTAACAAATTACAATTCACCTATTAAAGAGTAACAATTTACTTGGAAAATGTTTACTTTTTATGCATTACTGTGGTCAGAGAAACTGGAAAAACAGAAGATAGTTGCAATGATATACTGGAATGGGGAACATTTCTCATCCACAAAGAAATAAATAATATACTCGATGTTTGTGAAACTGATCAATTAACTTTGCCTAGAGACGTGTTATAAACTTAAAAACATACACTTGTCAGTATAATTGCAATGATGGTGTGGTTAGATTAAAATTTCTATTTACTTTTTGTCCATAAGCATACTTCAAAAACACTCCAAATGAAAAAAAAAATACACATGGCAAGGTTGAGATGTTAATTAATTCATCAGTATTGAGATATGCTTTTGAAAATATGGAGGTTGTCTTAATTTCCTTAAGCTTCACTACTGGTTAATCAAAAACAAAAAATAGAGTACATGCTGAGCTACGTAGTACTTAATATCATGTAAACACCTGGGACGTGCTTGGTGGGGTAAGTCAACAAAGTAGCCATATACATCTTCATTACAAAGTTAGTGACGCCACTTACGCGGAAAACAATCTTTCCATTTGTGCAAATGTGTGTAATTTTTGTGTCCGAACATACAAACAAGATATACAACGTTACATGACTAGCTTAATATTTTACCTGTTTAAAGCTGCCACCAAACTGTCAGAACTCTCACCACGAAACTGTCTTTGTGACACAGTTCTATGTAGATTTTTAATAATTATTAAGCATTTAAAACTCGGATATAACAGGAAAATTTCAACACAGCTGTTCAGCAATAAAATGCTAAAGGTAATGACAAATTTTAAATAGGTTACCCACACTGTAACACAGCTTATGTAAGATATCTGAATGTAGATTCAACCAGGTCACGATATGTGTGGGAGAGAGCTAGAGCCAGGAGTCAACATTTTGTACAGAAAACCCACACTCTCTGTGTAGGCTCACAGCTTACATGGGGACAAAAAGACAAACATGCATGTGGGAATTAGACAGACAACACTAGTATGGAAAGTTACTCAGACAAACATACAAACTGGTCTAAAAATTTAGATAGACTAATAGATACATAAGTTAACAAACAAGTGTGTGCAAGTGTAAATAGATAAATTGACCTTTCTGAGAAATCCGGAAATATACACATAATGTAATAAATGATATACAAAAAAAAAGAGTATTTAAAGATAAAGATAAATTAGATAATACAGAACCACAGAGATAGACAGATAAGTAGTCATATCTGAGAAAGCTAGAGAGAAACACAGAAGAACAGTTATATCGGAGAAGACCAAAAAGATAGATATTTAAATAAACATATGTAAGAATATTATAGAGATAGACAGACTATTGTGTCTGTGAAAGTCTGAGCGATAAACAGAAAACAAATATTATACCTGAGAAGGCTAGAAGAAACCAAAAATAAACAACTATATCGGAGAAATCGAGAAAGATAGACAGATAAACAAATCGTTATATCTGAAATAACTAGAGTGATACACTGGTAAACAATTATATAAAAGAAGGTTAGAGAGATAGATAAATAGTTATACATGAGAAGGCTAGAGAAATAGACAGATAAATCGAAATCTATTAGAATAATACTCAGTTTTCGTCTGTACTAAAAATGAGCGTGTATTTTAATATCTAAATGCGCATATACCCACACTTCATGCCCCCCAGTGGCACAGCGGCATGTCTGCAGAGTTATAACGCTAGAAACCGAGTTTCAATACCCGTGGTGGGCAAGGCAC